ACTCTTCATTGCTTCTTTCCAATAAGGAGCTTCGGGAGATGACATAGCCTCTTGATATGTTTGTGGTTCTTTATCCAACATAAACGTTAGATAATCAGAACCAAAAGAAGTCGGTTTCTTTGCCCTTTTACTTCTTCTAGGCTCTTCATCTTCTTCCTCTAATTGCTTAGAAGATTCATGAATTTTTTGAGATTCCATACCACTTGGATCTAATTCTATCCGAGTCTTATAGGGAAATATATCTTCAAAAAACGAAGCGTCTCTTGATTCAATGATTGTATTCGTATGTATTTCAAAATTATCTGATTTATACACCAAAAATCGGTAAGCACTCGAATTGTGTGCATAACCAATAAACACACAGTCTATTATTTTTGGTCCTAACCTATTTCGTTTAGGAATAGGGATAGGAACCTTAGCCAGACAACCTCATACTCTCAAGTATTTGTAGCTAGGTGATTTACCTTTCCACAACTCGTAGGGTGCCTTTTATGGGACACTCTGTTTAATACAAAGTTAGCAGAAATCACTGCTTCCCCCCACAAGTTCTGAGGAGATCCAGAACTTATTAACATAGCATTCATCATTTTTTTCAGCGTTCTATTTTTGCGTTCAGCAATGTCATTCTTTTCTGGCGTATAAGGGGTTGTAGTTGATGGATGATGTCATGATCTGCGCACAATTGCACAAAAGGCGACTCATAATCACCTCCTCTATCGCTTCTCAAAGCTTTGATTTTCTTTCCAAGTTGATTTTCAACTTCGTTTTTATAGAGATCAAACATCTCTATTGCCTTATCTTTACTTCTCATTAAGTAGAGATAACAATATCGAGTACAATCATCAATAAAAGTAATGAAGTACTTCTTTCTACCTCTGGTTTGTACGTATTTCAAATCGCATACATCTGTATGTATTAATTCCAAAGGTTCAGTACTTCGTTCAATATTTTTAAACGAAGACTTAGCAAATTTCGCTTCAATGCAGACTTCACACTTGTGGTCTTTCTCTAATTTCAATTTTGGCAGTAGATTAAGAAACATTAATCTTTACATAGACTTAAGATTCACATGTCCTAATCTACCATGCCATAATCTTGACTCATTCAAGTAAGCAGAAGAAGTAGAAGCTTTACTAATATCATTTGCGGTTATATTGTTTGTCGCATTGGTGTTACAAATGGTCATTATATTCATCTTGAACATACCATTTGCTAGATAACCTCTACTAAGATACACACCATCTTTTGACACTACAACTCTCTCAGATTCAAAAACTAGCTTAAAGCTTTTCTTTGACATCAAGATCTAGAGAGCAGGTTCTTGCGAATGTCTGGCACATGAAGAACCTCAGTGAGTGTCACATTCTTTCCAGAAGTCATCTTCAAAATGACTGAGCCCTTGCCTTCCACTTTGGATGCAGCAGAGTTTCCCATATAGCAGCTTTCTCCGGTGATAGTGTCATAGGTGGTGAACATCCATTTGTTAGCACAAATGTGGCGGGTTGCTCTAGTGTCAATCCACCATTCTTTCGGATTATCTCTGACCATGTTCACTTCTGACACAACTGCTACGAATTCAGACTCCCCATCTTCTACTTCAGCTATATGAGCTTGGGTCTTATTCCCAATTTTCTTCTAGGCACCTTCCTTGCGATGATAGCAATCCTTCGCCAGATGTCCAGCCTTGCCACAGACGTAGCAATTCCCCTTGAATTTTTTGGAGTTAGACATTCTTATCAATCTTCCGCTTTTTAATCCCTTTGGCCTTAGTCGTCTCAACGACATTTGCCTTGGATCCAAACTGCCCATTCATCTTAAGAATAGGTTGAGACTCCTGCCGAATTCTCACACGACGATGTAAATCCTTCAAAGACATGTCCTTAGGTTTTTGTCTCAGGTCATTCTTGAAACTCGTCCAGGATGGAGGCAATTTTTCAATCAGAGTTGCCACCTGGAACCGTTCATTTACCATGATGTCTTCTCCCGCCAAGTTGTGGAAGATGATTTGCAATTCATCTACTTGTTCCACAACACTCCTTGTATCTACCATACGGTAGTTTAGGAGCTTGGCTACCACCATTCGCTCTTGGCTAGTCTCTTCGACCCGATACTTATGATTAATCGCTTCCCAGAGTTGCTTTGCCGTAACATATTTGGAGAAAACACCATACAACGAATCATCCAAACCGTTCAACACAAAGTTCCAACACATGAAACTGTTATGTTTCCATTGTTGGTAACTAGTTAGAGATTGGTTCCTCTTCAGTGAGGTATCGTGACAACTTAAGTTGTGTTAAGAAAAATAATATCTTTTGTTACCAGCGTTTGAAATTTTGACCCTTAAATTGTTCAGATCTCTTAACCGAGCCAATTGGCACAATAGGAATTGCCTGATTTTCAGAGTTTGCAACAATCGAAGGCATTCCTGGTGGGACAACAACGTTCGCAACGTTTGACACTTGATTATTCATATTTGTGCCAGCTGCATCATGATTAACGGGGTTAGTAACCTCCGCTATATGAGGATTCTCATCGATATCCATAGCAGGAATCTCATTTCCTGGAGCAATATTTGAATCCATGGGATTTCTTGGATTTTCAATGATATGTGGAATAAATCCAATCATTGTTAGCTTTCACAAAGCTTATAAACTAAACCGAGTTTCACTTAACTTATAAATTGGTTTGGCTCGCTTCCAGTGATAGCCGGAGGGTTCACCCCGATTCCCACGTCCTTACTATGAGGAGGGTATATATAAAAGGCTTCCTCTTCAAACCCAGTCCGCTAAGGCAAAGCTTGCTTCCCCAATTTACAGGAAAAGTTACTTTCGATTTTGTTTAACTAAACCTTTTTTTTTTCAAAAAAATAATATTCCAAAATTTTTTTTTATAAAACACTTTTAAATAAAAGATATTAGACTTACTCTTTTGGGCTTTTAAATTAGTCTCCTTAAATTGAGCCAAAAATTTAATTGGGCTTAGACTCATTAATATTTGAAAAAAAAACAACTATTTGTTTTTTTTTCCAAACATTTTTTTAACCTAGTTATTTTTAAATCTAAATTCGTGTGAGGTTTTATACCGAAATTGAAAGAGATTTAGGCATTTACCCGAGAAGTTTACCTCGTGTTAACCATGAATCGAACTTAAGATTGTTGATGACGGTAAAACTCCGACAATTCAAGCGATTCCAGATAAGTACCTGAAATTAAAAGATTATTTTGTCGAGGCCTGTGAAACACAGTTTCCTTAAGTTCGATTTATGTGTCACCTCTAAAGCTTCGAGGCTACTAGAGCACAGTGAACTCCCACGAGCAGCAACCGCGTATTTGGAAAAAGCTTTCCAAATACCAAGCGAACTCAGGGAGAGATATGAGCAAATATGTTAATGCTCTTTTTTCCTCTACAATGCTTGTTTTTGTTTTCTGTGATTTATAAGTTAACCCAATACCCCTATTTATAGTAGAGGGGAGAATCTCAAAATAAAATCAATTTAATTTTCAAAATTCAAATTTGATTTTATCTTGATATTATCTCAATCTTATCTTAATCATGTTTGATAGATTTTCTGGAGATTTGAATCCAATTTGAATTTTAAATTCAATCAATAATATTCTCTCAATATTCTGCAGATTTAAAGTTTGGGCAGTTGGTAAACTGTGACAAATATGTCACATCATTAGAAATCTATACATTTTTTTTCTTTCTTTGCAAACTATACCTTTTCATAATTTTATGATAAAAATACCCTTACTTTATTATATAATTTCAATATTGTCATTTAGCGCCCCGAAAAATGTGCAACATAAAAAGCAGATTTTTTTGGAAACTGTGTTATCCGGTAGAATTGTTTTTTCATCCGGGACAACTGTTTTTCATCCGGAAGAGTATGTTTTTTGTCCGAGAGAGCTGTATTTTGTCCGAGAGAGTCTATTTTTGTCCGGGAGAACTATTTTTCGTCCGGGAGAGCCGTTTTTCATCCGGGAGAGTCTGTTTTTTGTCCGGGAGAGCTGTTTTCATCCGGGAGAGCTGTTTTTTGTCCGGGAGAGTCTCTTTTTTGTCAGGAAGAATGATTTTTTGTCCGGAAGAGTTGTTTTTCGTCCGCGAGAATCTATTTTTTGTATGAGAGAACTGTTTTTTGTCCGAATGAAAAATATTTTTTCGGATAAAAAATAGTTCTCTCGGATGAAAACAAGTTCTTCCGGATGAAAAACAGTTGTCCCGGATGAAAAACAGTTCTCCTGGATAACACAGTTTTCAAAAAAATATGTTTTTCATACTGTACATTTTTCGGAGCGCTAAATGGCAATATTGAAAATAGATAATAAAGTAAGGATATTTTTGTCAAAAATTTATATAAAGGTATAGTTTGCAAATGAAGGAAAAAAAAAAGGAATAGATTTCCAATGACATGACATATTTGGCACAGTGGCGCAAATTTTTTCTTTAAAGTTTCTAGAATTTTTCACGGACCGACCTTCTCAAGACTAAGCCCGTTTTGATTCTATCAAATAAACCCAAATCCAACACCATTTAAATAACACACTCTTATCATTTGGAAGAAAACAAAGACTCGTATTTCTATATAATTCTATAGTGCGTTAACGCTGTTAGTTAACGTCAGTAAGTACGTCATATGTCGAGTTGCAAATTGCATGTTTCTTAATTAATTAATTTATTTATTGTTCATTTATCATTATTATAACATGCAGTGGTCGAGTTTCCATTTGAGACGATGTACGGCCACCATTAAAAAATAATCAATCTAATGATTAAGACAAACCCGGAAATTATTATATAACTCAGATACACACACACATGGGAAGAGTCAAGGCGGTCGGATTGTGCATTATAATATGATTGGTTGTGGCCTTTTTCACACCAAACCCTGAAACTTAGTTATTTATAAATGAGGATAATAATGTTCATATTATTATTATTTTTTATAAATTTGAACTACTAGACTTGTATTTAAATTAAATGACAGAACAAGTGAAAGTGTCAATAACAAGAACTGAACAAAAAGGTGTTCTATGAGAACCCCCAGTTGTCTGATTGGTCTCTAGAGAAGTTTTTCTTCGACCCTTCTCCTCAGGTAAACTATAATCTCAAATTGGTCGGAAATACATACATGTATACATATACATATATATATACACCGGTATCAAGAGGATAGGGATATACACTGTAAGATAGATAGATCTCAGACGTGGGTCGTTTATTCGAGGTTTTTCCCAATTTAGGGGTCTGAGTTTAAGGCCATAAATCTAACGAGAATGACCACTGCGGTTGCGTTTTCAGCGTTTGTAGCCTAGCCTCTATGCAATCTTCTTCGATGCATTTCACATCACAATTGCAGAAAGTTTCTTCATTGAATAAGACAAATGGATGCTGATTCTTCACGATGATGGTTTCTAACAAATGATTCGAAGCCATGTCTTTTAGTGTACATCCACAGATGTCTTCAACGATAGGCGGTGGTGCTAATATGAGCATGAACTTTGATAACAAGACGGTTCTGTCGAAAGACGTTTCCGGCTTGGACAAGCATCTGAATGCTGTCGTGTCTGGTCTGTTGGATAAAGAGAGTAACGAGGAGAACTTATCGTTTTACTCCGCCATGGAAGAGGAAATACAACAAGGAGCTCGTGGTTCCGCCGGTGATTGTCAGAGCTTCGAGCTTTTTAACTTCAACGAAACTGAAACGAGGCTGAAGCTTCGGGAATTGGAAAGGGCACTTCTTGAAGATGAAGAAGAAGAAGATAGCTTTTTCGCCGATGAAATCATGGGGATGGGGGAATGTTCCGTAACAACCTGCACCGAATCTTCTTTCTCGGAAGACTCTTCTTATATCAGCGGCCAGGCGCAAGCATTATTATCACGTGGAAACACAAAGCAAATGCTTATCTATTCTGCCAGAGCTTTGGCCGAGGGGAGGGTAGAGGAAGCTTCCGCTATGATCAACGAGCTCAGGCAAGTGGTCTCGGTTAACGGAGACCCGCTGCAGAGAGCATCGGCTTATATGACAGAAGGCCTTGCTGCTCGTGTGGAAGCTTCCGGAAAATGTCTCTACAAAGCTCTTAGATGCAAAGAGCCACCTTCTTCCGAGAGGCTCGCGGCTATGCAAATACTCTTCGAGGTATGCCCTTGTTTCAAGTTCGGGTTTATGGCTGCAAACGGGACGATCATCAAGGCATTCGAGGGCGAATCACGGGTTCATATCATAGACTTCGACATTAACCAGGGAAGCCAGTACATGACACTGCTTCAAACAGTTGCTGGTTTGTCTGAAGCCGCACGTCCCCATCTGAGGTTAACCGGAGTAGATGATCCCGAGTCGGTCCAACGAATAGTCGGGGGACTTGAGATCATCGGGCTCAGGCTCCAAGAGCTCGCCGATATTCTCGGGGTATCATTTGAATTCAAGGCAGTACCTGCAAAGGCTTCAAGTGTTACACCAACGATGCTGGACCGCAGACCAGGAGAAGCCCTGATCGTGAACTTTGCATTTCAGCTGCATCACTTGCCAGACGAAAGCGTTTCAACCACAAACCAAAGGGACAAGCTTCTCCGTATGGTCAAGGGAATGAACCCAAAGCTCGTAACAATGGCCGAACAGGACGTGAACACTAACACCGCCCCATTCTTCCCGAGGTTCATAGAAGCATACAATTACTATACTGCGGTTTATAAGTCTCTAGACGTGACAATGCCACGGGGGAGTCAGGACAGGATGAATGTGGAGAGGCATTGTCTGGCGAGGGACATAGTCAACATCATTGCCTGTGAAGGGGAAGAGAGGGTAGAGCGGTACGAGGTTGCAGGCAAATGGAGGGCAAGAATGACAATGGCTGGTTTCACTTCTTGCCCAATGAATCCTGGTATGATCGATGTGATCAAGAAAATGATAAAGGAGCAGTACTGTGATAAGTACAAGGTGAAAGAGGAACTGGGTTCGCTTCATTTCGGTTGGGAAGACAAGAGCTTGATCATTGCATCGGCTTGGACATAGATCATTGTTTCATACTGTCATGTGTAACCTCTTGTTAAGGTTCCTGCTTGTGGATCCATGTACTTGTGTGTTGTTAGGGTGTGCTATGATGTATAATAAATAACTGAAATAGATTAAAAAATGGTTAAAACCAATAATTATGCTTATAAAGGAATCTAAAAAAGTACCTGAGCATGGCTATAATGGGTTGTCACATTACAATTGTTTAGAATGTGTTTGCCTATGCTCATTTCTTGATACCTACAAAACAGAGAGCTACTTCAGCTTGTGCTTGAAGTTCTTCTAGAACCTTCATGATCTTCTCCCGGCAAAGCTTGGTTTCCTTCTGTTCTCTCAGCATTTTCCGTACTCTATGATACCCATTGGTGTGGAAGAGGAAGTAAGACAAATGCATAACAGAACAGAAACTAAATCCGTTAAATGAAGATATTAAAATCAAGTTTGTATTCTACCTCTAATGTTTCAGATGCTGGAACCGTTCGAGTAAAAAAGTTAGCAACACTAACTTGTGCACAATAGCTGTGTCTCCATGTCCGGTGCAGACAATAAACATGGCATTTGTGGGTAATGCAGTGTAAAGGGAATGGACTCTAGCGTCCATTCGTTTCAAGATTTCCTTTGTCTCAGACGAAACACTGCTTTTGCGGCTTTTCTTGGGGGTAGATTTGTCGTTACACGTGAGTAACGAGATTAACTCCGCTAATCTTGTGTTTAGTTTCTCTGGATTATCCGCCTTTCTCTGGAAATGGGCATTCAGTTCTGAGAACTGGGTCCAAATGAATTGCGACCTGTTGTTCTTCGTCTACAAGTACATAGGATACATAAGACAAGAGAATAAAGTCAACAAAAAGAATCTCGAGGGGTTTGAAGGTTTTACCTCCTTGACGGCCTTTGAAATTGCTTCTGTCATCAGAAGAAACTGGAATTGAGTTTGATGACTCAGAAGCAAATCGTTTTACAATGTTAATATTGTCAATGATAGAAGTGGTTTTCCCGCTTTCAGACAAAACAGTGAGGAGCCTTTTCCGTACCATTTCTGGTGGCGAACCAAAATCAGGTCCTGTAAGAAGCCCCAAAAGAAAAAAGCCCAATCACTAAACAAAATTTATACCGAAACCTAATGACAAGATGAAGAACAGGAATCACTTGCCATGTCTTATCTTCAAGAGTGCCAAATCCATGGCAGCTCTTGCGTCCTCAATGCTGTCGTGACCATTTCCATACACTTGTATCTCTCTAGAAAGAAACTTTTTTGCTAAAACCCGGAGCTTAGTTTTGAAGGACCCACCGCGGGGATGCTTGTATAGTACCGCAGTGTCAATCACCAAATCATGAGAGATCTTCAGAGAAAACAAGTCATTTTCCAAGGAGTGTCCAACTAAGATCGTCTCTTTGGAAACCAGCTTCAAAAACTCATTCTGAACATAGCAAGCAACTGCAATTAAAATAGATAGTACGGTCTTCAAGTGAAACCGACTCCGAATGCGGCATCAGGTAAAAGTGATGCAAACATATGGAACCTGAATATCTTTAAGAGTTGTAGTCACTCCCTCCATCATCTCAGCTGTTATTCCGCTAAACCTGCAGAACCAATACCTTGTTCTAAGCTTATGTTCTTTGAGATGTTCCACTAGAAACTTAAAAAGTTCTATCGAACTTGAATTTAATAAACACAAAAGCAGTTTCTAAACCATCAATAGGGAGTCTAACGAAATACCAAGCATGGCTTACGTTGTGTTATAATCAGTAATTTGATGGCTTGACTAGTTTATCTAATAGAACCTGCAAGAGCATGCCAACTCGGTTAAAAGATAAATTCAACAAGGCACCAGCAATGGAGAAATCTCCGAATTAAAAGAAGTCAGGAGTAGCAAACCTGTCCTCTGACATCTGCCAACGTCACCCTTGTCAACTCAAAGCCTTCCTTTGTAATACACTGGACAAAATACAGGTAAATCTCTCAAAATTTTCCAAACAAAATAAATAAAAACAACATATGTGTTTGGAGAACCTAAACATTCTAAAACAATCACATCATGAAAAGCCAGAAACACTTGTTGCCTACCATCTCACAGTCAAGAGCCAAAATCTCATGGGGAGAGGACCCTGATGGCGCAGGAAGAGTAGGGAAAAAATCTGTAGATGAAAAGTTAACCGGTAATTGATTTGACCCTGAAGGTAAAGGCGGAAAGGTCAAACACAACAAAATGGTTGGCACAAAATAGATCAGGAGGAGCCTGTACCTGGTTTATCAAGAATGTATCCATTGTTTTCCATTTCCTTTCGACTTAAAGTATAGTACGTGATAGGAAAAGGTATATCCTTTGTGAGTTCCATAAAGGAAAAAATCTGCATAGCATTGCATGGTTCTACATGTAAACAAGTTATTATTAAGTTCACGAAAGGCGTAAATGTTTCATCTAAAGATGATTTTCCCAATGCAGTGGTTCAAGTTCATAAGCATTTCAACCTGGCTCAGATGCTTGGAGATGTTTTTCTTCTGAACCAGAAATATTTCTCTTCCTTTTAACCTTGCACGTGAGGATAGCATCGATTGTCTTCATCTCATCTAATACACAACTAGAACAATAAAAGATGCTTAGCACCATTTCACAAGCAATAGCGCTAAAAAAAGAGAGATCACCAACCTCAAAGCTAAAAGGGGTCTAGGTCTGCCAAGACATGTTTTGAAACTGGAAAGTAATTTAGACTGTGATAAATACAAAGCCGCGTCCAATCCAGGAAGGTAGAGCAGGACAACCTTTGGAATGAGAGGCTTGTTCTGCAAACCATATCGATAGATACCACATAAAGGTCCAAAAAGTGTTCCTTCTCAACTTCAAATCAAGGAAGCCATAAACGAGAAGAGAACATATAAGGGAACTACAGCTACGACGCCCGATACAAATGGCACAATAACTAATTAACTACATCATGATCGATTATACAATAAAAAAACCCAACAGAATCATCACAAGAAAGCAAAACCTCTGAGATTGAATAATCTTTGTATACCTTGATAAATGCCCATGATGGCATATACCCTTCAGCAAGAACCCAAGTCACAAGTCCCTGAACGTCCTGTTCAACCACAAAATGCCCAATTCCGATATTATATATAAAAAAAAAAAACTTCAAACAAAACGGCCATTACAGGACCCTTCAAGTCATACAAAAGAAAAAAACCTACTTGTAGATTCAACGTCGATTCCGGCTGTTTGAACTCAATCTCCGCTTTAGCCTGCCAAAAAGAAACTACATCAGACACACAACACTCTTCCGCAAAATGCATTAACCAACTGAAGTACACAGATTTCAAAGCCAAACCATCGATCAGACAGAACACAATCTAGGAAAAGAGTATGGTTTGAATTCAAAGAGTTGACGAGTAACGAAACGGAACATAAGCTACAGACATCAAAGTCGCGAATATTACATCAGGTCCTTAGATATCGAATTAACTGTTGCCGGCGATGCTCTTATCACTACCACCGCCGCTTTCTGCGCCGTTTAGGTTATCTTCCTCCGAGGCTATCGCGTCGCGCTTCCGCTTCGAAGATGCCACATCCGATACAGCTGCGGAGGACGAGCTTTCAAGGGAGAATTAAAGCGTCACCGCCGAATCTCCCTCCGGTCTGTTTTTACAGACTTCCAACTCAAATAAAAATATAAGGTAAAATTATTTTCATTCTCTCTGTTTGTACATTATTTTTCCGTTCGAGTTATTCGATTCTAAATAATATCAACCAAATGAGTTACATTCGATTAGATTTGGTTGATATTAGTTTCGATTTCGATTTCGGTTTTTATTAAAAAATATATATTTTTTAATAAATTTTTATTTTAATTTCGGTTTTTATTGAAAAATATATAATTTTTTAATAAATTTTTGCGTTTTTCGAAATTTTAATATTCGATTTGGTTCGAAACTATGATATTCGATTTTTTAAAAACATTACCATTCGAAAATTTTTGAGTTTGGTATTTATTCAGTTTGGTTTATTCGATTGTGTAAAAAAGTGTATAAATCGTTATTATATTATATACGGTTCGATTCAATTTCAATTCTTTCGATTTTTCATTAAGAAAAATATATATTTTCTTAATATATTTTTAGTTTTTTATTTTTAATATTAAGTTCGATCCGTTATAATTCAATTTCAGAACGATACCGAATTTTTTTGGGTTAAATTCGATTTAGTTAATCATAACAGAACTGCAATGCCATCCCAGAATTATATTTATGTCAAAAATGAAGCAAACTTATGAGCCGAATCGGGAAAATAAGAGACTAAATAAAAACGGACTGAACGAGTTAGTTCGTTGAGAGTTCGAGCCCAACGGAGCTAGCTCGATCGGCTCACGAACTAGCCCACGAGTTGGCATAAAAAAAATTAGAATTTTACCTCTTTCGTATTCTCTCTATCACGAGTTGGCTCGTACCTCGAACAATTTGGTATAGTTTAGAGTTTTTCTAACTCGAAAAAATGGATCGAACCAGATGAGGAAAAAATGAGTAAGCTCGAGCCGTTCCTAGCAAATTCGTTTCCGGAAGTGACGATCCATGTGATAATATATAGGGGCAGTTGGCAAAATATACAAAAAAAAAAAAGAAAATTTGCAAAATATCTAAAAAACAACTTTTGTATACTATATTTTTTTTCTAAATACCCAAACTACCCCTCAGATTATTTTTCTGCGATTTTGTGGCAATCTATCTTTTAGAAATCGGTACGTTTTGCTATTTGATCTTATTTTATCTCCAACATTTTCTCTATCTCCTCTATTTCTTACAGTTTATCTAATCTATTCAAATACTCTTTCAATTGATTTCTTTTTTTGTGATATTCTGATCATTTTTTTGTATGCACATAAAGTGTTTGATGAAATGTCTGTAAAAGAAAACTGTAGAAGATGATCTGCCATCTGTGAAAAATGATACACGCTCTGCGGTAAATGACCTACAGCCTACGACAGATGACTTACAGTATGGCAGATGATCTGCGGCCCGCGGCAGGTCATCTTCG